AATAAGACAAAAACGGTCCATAATTTTGTTGGGAGGTATAGCTTGTCTGTTAAGAAAATGTAAGCATTGTGGAAATGTGTTCACTGACTGCATATTGGGTGAAAACGACATGAAATGTGTGAATGGTATGGCCACAAAAGACCGATGCTGTGCTAATTGTGTTTAGAGTTTTGAAAATGTGACAACTGTTTGGACAAACGCTTGTTAGCGACTGGAAAAAACTGTAAGGTGGGTGGTACCGTGCTATTTAGGTACAACACAGTGCTGAAAATCAGCCTGCGGATATTTTAATCTTGGCTTTTATTTACTGTCCGGAATGTGTCAGCAGGGTTAGGGTTAGGGGCTGTGGCAGCGTGAAAAGCAGGGATGCCAAGACGGACCTTTCGTCTCCGTGTTTGGGGGAATAATTACGGTGAGGCCGCTAAACCTCTGCACCATCCCTGCCGCTGCCTGATAGCGCCTCTACCACAGTGTAATCGACACACTTCAGATTATTTGCAAGATAATTACAGTCAACAGTCGTAGGTAAGGTGAGGGGCGACAATGGGGGGCCCATTAATATTCTGGGTCCGTCGCAGGGTTTGTCGTATGGCTCGTCCTTAAAGCGCCGAACGGCGGACTGGCACCGCATTAAGAACAACGAAGTTGACACAGAAAGAGCATTCCGGAAATGTCAGTGTGGTAGAGAGAGCAGGACCTGCTTCACTGTGAAAAACCTGTTTGTGTGTGTGTGTGTGTGTGTGTCCTAACACCGCCATCTCATGGAAGACCTGGCCGTATTAAACTCTACCTCGGTGGGCCCGCGGACACCCTCTGTGTGTGCAATGCGCTTGATCATCCTGAGGATGCGTTAGGAAATGCGCGATGGGGTCCATTTCACCAGCCCCGTTAAATATTTCATGAACTGAGATGAGTGCATAGCCCCTCCCTCCATTCTGCCGCATGCACTGACGATTTGGAATGGGGGGGCTCAAACATGTGGCTGGGGTTATAATACGGGGGGAGGGGGGGGGGATTAAAAGCACAGACACATATCGCATAATGACGCGTCAGCGGGCGGCACGTGCTCGCAGGCTTGGCCGCTGTCGGCCCCCCATTTGACACGTCAGCCCCCTGCGCCTTGGCAGCGCGGTCACAGCGGTGCAGCATATTGGCTGGGCTCATTTGCCTCTCGCAGCAAGCTCAGTGTCCAAATATCAACCCCCCGGGAGTAACACGTGTAGGAGAAGCGCGGGCGAGCCGGCCGCTGCAGCAGGTGGCCCGTCAGTGCCTAATGAACACAGCAATCTGCTCGCATCGCTGCGGCGCCTTTCAGCAGACAATTAGGCAACTAAGCGTGTAATTATTCCAGGCCAACGAGAAGAGGGTTCTCCTCTAATTTCATCTTTTCATTCCTGTTTACTCACCCACACTCCCCTCATTAATGAGAGTTTTTCCAGTCTATGCTAATTGGTTTCAATAACATTCATTTTAGTTGAAAGGGAGCGATTCTGTTAATTGAGGAGCGAAAGAGCCCCTTTTCATTTCGAGTGCGTCCCTGAGACGGCGCCTTTGAATGCACTCAACAGGTTCCCCGCTAATGAAATTAAACGACGTGGGCCGTGGCGAAGGCAAGCCAAATTAAAAGCAATTTATTTCCATTGAAGCATGTGGCACCGCTGGGGCACAATTAAGTGGCGGCCTGGTCAGGGGAAGGTTTAAAAAGCAGAGCCGCGATCACACGGCTGTTCTGACACTTCGGGGGCTGACCGGAGATGCCGAGGCCCGAGGTGGGGGGGGCACGCAAACACAGCCACCCTGATGTACTTGGAGAAATTGAGTAAATGGATGATTGTAGCTGGAAGTAATGGTTAAAATTAAATGGGGGGAGGGGGGCTTAAAGAAGGCAGGAAAAAGGCACTAACTGCTGTAGTTGTTACAGCGGGGGAAAATTTCTGAGGTGGGGGCCAAGGCTAGCTGGTTTGTGTGTAGGTGTTGTTAGAACTAAGTTTCAGATCCAAGCTGTGGTTGTACATTCAACCCTGGGGAGACAGCCCACAGGTCTTCTGCAAGCAGATACACACCATTTAATTGCACCCCCCCCCCTCCCCCAAAAGGTGCCCCAGCTCTTAATTGATGAACCGAAATGTATTCGGAGTTGGCATGGGAGTACCTGCGGTTGCCAGGGTTACCGAATTGAATCGTCCCTGAGACGTCTCTGCTCTGCATAATTCCATCATGTCATTCAGCGGATTTCGTGGCGAGCTTGATGAATGGCACCCTCGCCAGATAACATTTCTGCCTGGGTGTAATAAATCTTATGTAAAGTGTTCTGAATTTCATACAGAGCAACGTAAAAAAAAAAAAAAAAAAAGATAGAGATTGCACACTTGGTCCGCTGGGGTGGTGACAGCAGCAAGGTTTCTTCCTGTTTATTTATCTTGTTTGTTTATTGGGTTGGCATCAGCGTTTGGGTCATTTCCTGTCCCACTTCGGGAAGGGAGTCCGTGTTTCCTTCTGCCAGGCGATGCCGGCACGGTGACGATCGCGCGTAGCCAAGGGTGACAGCGTGACTTTAAAGTCCGGCCTTTTGTACACAGTCAGGCTGGGGGATCCGTGAGGGATCAGGTCACCCCCAGACAGGAGCCCAACAAGCAGAGGATTGTCTCCCGCCTGTATAAAGTGCAAACGTACAGCTCCAGCTGGCTCACAGACACGTACATGCATAGCAATGAGGGGTGACCCTCCAGAAAACTCACACCAGCCTGACAGTGACCTTCTGTGGGGGTCTCGCTCAGCGGATGTCTACCTGTCGTATCGATTGCTGTGCTGGGCAAATCCCTGCTGCCCCCCCGCCCCACACCACACCCAGGAGCATTGTGTCATTTGCACATCCCTTTCATGCCTGCAGCTGAGAGCCCGATTCCTGTGTGACCCTGGAGGGGCCCTCGTGGCGTTCCCTAAAGTACCCTGGACCCTGACCACCGCGTCCTCCCTTACAGAAGCCTATTTATTTATTCATGGTTGTGGTGGGGGGAGGGGGGATCTCCTCGGTCAGCCCCCACCAAGTGCCCACTGCCCCATTTGCGATTACCTCGCCAGCATTGTGCCTCATTAACTCACAATTCAATTGTGGGCTGCTGTTTTGGAGCCTCAGAAGATTATTATGACAGAAGGGAAATAACAGAGCTTGCTAGGTCGTCCCAAGTCTTCAGGTAGCGCTCTTCATTTAATTTCAGTCCTCTCCCCTTTTGATTTTCATTACAGGATAAATGTCTTCATCCTCCCCAACCAGCAGGCCCAAAGCTCCTGGAAGCCCAGTGTGGATCCATCTCATTACAAAATTAAAGTTAAAAAAAAAAGTGTATTTCTGTCCGTGACTGATTGTATTTGTTTACTAATTAGGTTTTATTTTCCATTATTAATGTTTTTAATAAGCTCAGAGTCAGGTGTAGTTGACAGTAATTAATGGGTTATTTTAGGCGATCGTTATTACAGCCATGCACTTCTCTAATAAGGCTGATAATTACTGAGCGCTTGCTCCCAGACACATAAAGAACCGCGCATTGACTTTTTGACAGGCCGTGATGCCGGCAGGAGCTAATGGGTTTTTAAATTGTACTTTTATACCCATCAGACCCAGTAGCAGCTAGTCATGTTTTCAATTAAGGGAGGGAATCCTGCGTTTTTACATGGGGGAAACTGCACCGCAAGTGCGCGCGCAAACACGCCTACGCGCACACACCCTCCCACGCACAGGGATACGGTGCGTTTCATTCATTTTAACCAAACCTTGCATTTAAATGTGCCAGCGCAAGCACAAGAAATCAATCCAAGTTCAGGCCCCCGTTCGCTAATTATTATGTATTTATTCCGCCGCTCCCCTAATTTGGGGGACGGCTCCGTTTCTTTATGTTAGAGATAAAGGGAATCTTCCGATTTTTTTTCTTTCTTTTTTTTCTAAGCCCGAGATAGCGAGGCCCTCCAAGCGAGACAGGAAATTACACAGTAAGTGCCTTTCACGGTGATAGCGAAATGAAGGCAGTCGCTGTAATTAAACGGCCGGCTTTGGCGCTGCGCTATCGGGCATCTCTCTGGGTAACAGCCTGGCACCGGCCGGCCGTGGGCGCGCACACGCCCCACGCATTCATCCTCATGTCCTTAACTGCTGACAAATTACCCTGCATTACCCAGCGACTTTATGTCGGCCAGATGTTTTGCTCGGGGAAATATCTTTAGTTAAAATAATTACAAATTTATAAAGGGTATTCCGTTTTATTAAAAGACTGTCTTTGTCTTTACTCTTTAAAACATTTGAATTACTCCACTATGTTACCATAACCATTGGATTTAAAGTGTAAGTTTAAATCGCAAAAGCGCTAATTCTGATCCGCTCCAAACTTTGACTCTTTTAGGTGATTAATGTTGCTTTCAGCAATCAATGCAACACGCCTACCCCCATTTCCTCTAAGCAAGTAAGAAAGCAAACGTGGTCGGTAAAAGTCTTTATTTTAAGAAGTAAATTAACAGTAGTAATGGCATTGCTAATTGCTGAATCGTTTTAACGGGAAGTGGAGAATAAACTGAGAAAGATGCTCATTACGCTGCTGTTTCCCATTTATTAGCGCTTTGTGACAGGCGAGCCGGGCGCCCGATTGCTGTCCCCGTCCCAAGTGACTGTAGCCATGGCGTAATCTGGTCATGTGATCAGCCGCATTAGGAAGCTCATTTTAAATGACTGACACTTTTATATATGCATGCCACTAATCTTCTGTAATTTGGTTGTTACTTAGAAAAAAAGAAACTGTAAATGTGTTGTTAGGAGTACAGAGACGGAAAGCGGACGGAGGTTGGAGGCTGACCGGAGCCGAATGGGCCACGTGGAGAGAGCGGCTCCCCTCGGGGGTGCAGCGTTAGTACGGTTTTCTTTGAAAACAGCACGGTATCTGGTGAAATCTGTAACTCGTATTTAACTTTTCATGCTGTATATTCATATAAATATTCTTGATTTTTGCTAGTCGTATTAATATTTGTATGCAGCTGGGCCTACATAATGATTTTGAACAAGTTGATTTTATGTCTAGCTTGTATTTAGGACTTTAGGATGGATAATCACATACAAGCTTTGCATATTATAACTGATAGGCCTACTGTAGAATTCATTTGGGGGCAGAGGACCAGAAGCAAAGAATGGCTGCGGTCACCATATTATTAACTGGCAATTTAGAATACGGAATGCATCTAGGGACAAACAGAACTGTAGCAAACTAATAGTCAATGTTGCTTTTATTAGTAAAACGTAATGGATAAACTTTTTGTCTGACTGCCTTCTTATCCAGGATGTAGAAGACCTCCACCACCCCCAACCTGGGCCATGACCAGGATAAGCGTGTGTTGGATTGATGGATGGATGGACTTTGTCAGAAAAGCCATTCACCAGGGCAGGTAGGATGAATCTGAAGGGTGCATGGGGGGCTGGGGTCCTGTGGGATTTATGCTTTCCCCTGTTTAATTTGGTGTATCATATCACAGATGATGTCACACCAGAGTAATCTGGAATCAGTGGGCAGCGACGTGGGCGTGTGTCTGATGTATTCATCTGCTATAAGGGGCCTGGTAATGAGAGAGGTATAATATTCTCAAGGTCTGGCTCCGGTAATTATTTTTGTGTATGAGGCTATATAAAAATTTTAATTGTGAACTGAGGCGGTCTGGAATTAATGTGGCTTTCAAGGAGTGGAGAAGCATAGAGCGTAATGAAATTACAGATTCTGCGCGGGGTAGGAAGCGCAGCGAGGGCACGGCTCCTGACAGGGGGACGGGGGGAGATGGCGGTGGCGGATCGCCCGTTTGCTGGCCACGCTGCCGCAGAACTCAAGTAATTTTAAGCCGATAACACTTTGTATCAATTGCAATATATTATCTTATTTATTTTATTCTTGGTATGTTTTATTTGAATAATTCTACTTAAGTACTTTGTTCAAAGTAAATCAGACAGGCTTCTCATGGGCTGCGTTACTGTTTTGCATTCGCATCTGCGGTCGTGTCTTTTCCCCGGTTTTCTGACCTGTTATTTCTGCCCGTCCTATAAATACACGTTTGCGTTTTAATTTTCTCCGGTGCTGCAGATTCTTCGCTTCCTAACTTTCCTACATATTTTGGTGCTATTTGGTGGGAGAAAGAAATTGCCGGTTGCACATTAGGCTCCGGGCTTGCGGCTGGCCGAGCGTTTGGGTGGGGGCCAGGGCCGGTGTCAACTGAACGTGGCAGGAAATTGCATTTCACAATTCGCGATTTTCACCTAAAGTTTTAGCGCAGCGAAATCGAGATCCCTAGATGGGTGGGTTTTAGGAACTATGAGTGCTCCGCCTGCCTTCGCGGTATCCAATCATTTTAATCACCTTCATTAAGCTTTTATTGCGGCGCTGCTATTATTTACAAAGTGTTAATTGTCGGAGCATGGCAAGCCACAAACGCGTTGCTAAAACGTATCTTTGTTGGATGTTACCTGAGTCTTTACATGGCGCAGGAGCCGGGCAAAGATTGCTTATAGACGCGCAAACTGTGCGTCAGCACTTACACGCAGCCATCGGCGATCCCCAGCTAACAGGCAACGTTCCCGGAACATCGAGCTAACGTTATATGAAGGCCTTCTCGAAGGTGAAAACGTTCTCACCCGTAACGTTGATGGAACGTTATTTCCCAGCTTTACATTTTAACAAAGGTTCATGACAGTAACATTATTACATGAACATCCTTTTAACAGTGTCTTAAAAATATTTTATAATAAAGTATTACTTTATATAAGTGCTATGTGTACTGCCAACGTGTCATCCAACCTTGAACATCAAATAAACTGCACACTTTGAACGTCTCCATACCTTAATCGCAAGGTTCGATAAACGTTCCTATAGAACAAAATAAATGAGCAGGTCCTGTTTTGCGGTTGCCTAGTGACGTTTTGAGCCATATCAGTATCATCTCCCTGAAATTATTAGCTTTAATTCGTAAAGCATCTCCCCAAAACTTGCATTACTTTTTGCATGGCTGTTATGTAAACACCCCGGGGGGGGGGAGTGGCGTTAAGCCTCACCTCTGATCAGATACGAAGGCCGGCCCTCACTGACAGAGGAGCAAGACCCAATTGGGGTCTGACCAAACAGCAGGGCATTGACCCTGTGTGGAGGTGGAAATTATTTTAATTTGCCACCCCACCCCCCCCAGGTATGGCGGGCCGTGCCGGCCTTGACCCACACCCCGGGTGCACGGATTAGTGTTCTGTAATGATTGCTGTGGCTATCACTGTGACGGGCATCATTAATTATCCTTATTGATTGTCGCTTTCAAAGATAAAACGTTCTGCTGACTAGAAAATACCCCCCATGCACAAGGTCAAGGCTAAAAAAGGGAAACTTAAGATAATCAGCACGGCTGACAATTGAAAATAAATATGGCCACCCATCCCCCCCCCCCTGCACTGTATCTCTCTGTCTCCTCCACTGTCCCTCTCTCTCCCTCCCTCTGTCTTCTCCATGTCTGTAAAAGCGTATCACTGTGATCCAGCTCTGCTGGCCCTGCCTGCTGTCGGGGCTCCGCGTCCAGCCAGACGATCCGCTTGCCTGGACATCTCTCATTGGATGGCGACATCTCTCATTGGATGGCGACATCTCTCATTGGATGGCGCATGGGCTGGTTGGCCCCGCCCACATATTTGCAGAGCCATCTGTCTCTGCTAAATAACATGATGAATGAAAGTCGAACCAGCCAGGAAGCAAAAATCCTGTGATTCCCTTCTGATCTGCTTACCATACAGTGAGAGGCAGTGGTTTGTCAGGTCAACTGTACCCCTCTGTGATTGCATTATAACTGTACAGTGAGAGCCAGTGATCTGAGAGATCCACTGTAAACTCTGTGCTGTCATTAGCTTACAGTCAGAAGCCCTCCCCCAATATGGCAGCCATCTGCTCTTCACTCCGCCATATGACAAAGTTTTAAAATTCACATGAAATATTTACCTGGACCCCCAGATTGCGGTGAGCTGTGTTTTCATCCAAGGGCGATGTTGCCATCAAAGTATTTCTGATCTGCCTCCATTTTCATATACAGATCTACAAGTGCCCCCCCCCTCCCCCCCCACGCCCCCCACGCACAACGGACCTCCAGTGCCGCCCCCCATGTCTATGTATGGATTCCACTTAGTCAGGGGAGGTGAGCACATTCAAGGCGCTGGCAGGGAATACAGAGCCAGACGAAAAGTAGGTTTGACATAAATGTATTCTCTTTTCAAATGGCCGTTTGTGGAGTTTGGCTGTGCGCGAGTCGTCGGAACCCGCGCCTCACATCCCGGGGTCAGTGATTGGCATGTTTTCATATGTGGATTGTGTTCCTGGATCTGCGCTGCTCCTTTGTACAGCCGCCGCGTGTCAAGCACACCGGATATATATAAATGTATACAGAAGGAGCCCTCACTCCCTCTGGGGGGGGAGCTGATCAGACGGCCTGGAGTGTGATGGGTGGGTGGGCAAACGGGGGAGAGGGGCACTGATTTTGGAGGAACACACACACACACTCGTTTCTTTTTTTTGCAAGCACTAACAACCTTGCCTGCCTTTCTTTATATACCTGATGGGTGTTTTGCATGAGGGAGATGAGGGAGGTGCTTTGGGGATGCCCAGGGTCGGGACCCCCCCCCGGATTGCTGTTGTATTCTACGGTTAAGGGAAGACAGACGTGGGGTACAGACAGGAAGAGGGAGCGAGGGAGAGACGGGAGAGAGATAAGAGAGCGATAAAGTATCTGCCTTTCTCTGCTGTATCTGACGCTATCAAAAAGAGCATTCCAAGGTCTGAAAATTCATTACGCTGAAGCGGCTTTGAGTCGGCCCATGTTTCCGCGAACCCCAGCTCTGCCCAGTATTCTGGGTGGGATTGTAAAGCAGTAGCCTGAGGCCAGGAGGAATTGGCTATAACCAGGTATGGGCAGCAGACTCTGCAGGCCGGCCGTCTCCTGCGGGAGATGTGAGCGGATGTGGGTGTGTGAGCCGGCCTGTGTGTGCCTGCGCGTGTGGGCGTGGCCGGGCAGTGTGCACATCCAAACACGTGTGTCCGTGTTGGAGGTACCAATTGGTCGTGGATGGAGTGTTACGTGTATATGTCTGTATTCCTGTTCAGAGGAATCGGATCTGATTGGTCGTGATGCATCGGGGTGGTCGTTTGATTGGCTGGATGATATGTTGAGGGTGTGTGTTGTTAAATTATGATGAAAGGCACCCAACAAAATGGAGAAATAGAATCAGTGCATTGAGGGAGGACGGGCAGAGCTGGAATGAGAGACGGAGGCCTCCGGAAAACATGGGGTAATCGGCCCTGAAGTTCCCTCTTAGCCCAACTTGACATACAGCCTGTTAGCTATAGAAAGTGTGAAGCCATGGTGTAATATTACAGAGTTCATTCTGTTGACCCCAGTGTAACAGTTACTTTTTTCCAAAACCATTTCACACATGGACATTTTACCTGGGACTTTTACTGCTGTTGAGGGGGGTGTAAGTTAGCTGATCCAGGGCTATTTGGATTGCTGAGGCCGTTTGAGGCCTCATTGGATGCTGGTTTTACTGCTGAGATCTGATTGGTTACCCCATTACCTTCCCTTGCCCCACTGGAACCCTAATCAGCCAATCGCAAGGCAGCATGTGGTTGTCGCTGTACTGGGGGGTAGTTAGTAGACATATAATGTCAAGTGTCAAAATAGCCGTGAAATTCCCTCTCTGTTGGCTTGTTTTCCTGCGTATTGATTTGATTGGCCGTGACCTCCTTGCTCTGACTCAGGCGTGGTTAGATCATGATCCTTTGTAGATAAAAGTCTTCATGTACATATTTACGACTCATATTTGAACCAAATGCCATCGATGGAACTCAAAATACTGCAAAATGCACCGGATGAGTCAGTTTTCTAAAAAAATATTTAAAGCCAATGTTTATTTTTGTTACTTTTCTTGTTTTAATTTGTGCTTCTGCCCCCATACTGTGGAAATTGAGACATGCTCATGTACCCATGTTTTCAGGGGGGGCCGTGGTCGGATTC